TTTGGAGAATAATTTGACCCCTAGCACCGACGATGTTACCTAGTTTGAGTTATGAAATATCTGCAAGGAAAGAACCAAGCTCAGGCAGCACCAAGGACCCCCTTGCTTAATGTCGTTGTATCTTCCACCCCAAGGAACCCACAGAACGCAAGAGGGTAGTAAGTTATAAGGTTTGATAGACGGTGCACTATTGCCACCCACAGGCTGAAACAGGAAGCATTTTGCTATGACATAATTCTAGGACGTCTGTTCCAACGTGTTGGGGCAAACATTTCAGAAATAATTCTGGACTTTATGGTAGAGACTTTCCCTTTTATCCCTTTAGTATCGATTCCTTCTTCTTTCTGGGATAGAGAGTAAAATAAATAGGGAAAAATTAATAACAGGAGGATGGAGGAATATAACACAAAATGTTCTTTTAGAGAAAAGTACTCTGGAGCATTAAAAAAAACCCTACATATTTCTTTGGTATGCATTTCCCCCCCCTATTCTTAGGAGAGGGTTAGAAATGGAGAAGAATTCAATTCTACAGATCAGGCCTCCAATCAAAGTTTGAAATGTTATCAATGTAGCATATAATAATAATAATAAAGTTGGAAGGGGTCTTGGAGGTCATCTAGTCCAACCCCCTGCTCAGGCAGGAAACCCTATACCATTTCGGACAAATGGCTGTCCAGTCTCTTCTTAAAAACTTCCAGTGTTGGAGCACCCACCGCTTCTGGAGGCAGGTTGTTCCACTGATGAATTGTTCTAACTGTCAGGAAGTTTCTCCTTAGTTCTAGGTTGCTTCTCTCCTTGGTTAGTTTCCATCCATTGCTTCTGGTCCTGCCTTCAGGTGCTTTGGAGAGTAGCTTGACTCCCTCTTCTTTGGGGCAGCCCTAGAGATACTGGAAGACTTGCTATCGTGTTCCCCCTCGTCCTTCTTTTCATTAAACTAGACATACCCAATTCCAGCAACCGTTCCTTATATGTTTTAGCCAGTGGTGGGATTCAAATAGGTGAACAACTGGTTCTCTATGTGGGTGCCGCTTCCGGATGTCCATTCTGGGCCTGGGCAACAAAAAAATAGCTACCGGTTCTGTCGAAGTGGTGTGAACCGGCTGAATCCCACCACTGGATTTAGCCTCCAGTCCCCTAATCATCTTTGTTGCTCTTCTCTGCACTCTTTCCAGAGTCTCAACATTTTTTTAATAATGTGGTGACCAAAACTGGATGCAGTATTCCAAGTGTGGCCTTACCAAAGCACTAAAGAGGCACTAATCCTTACCAAAGCACTAAAGAGGCACTAATCCTTCACATGACCTTAATACTACCAAAGCATTTGTCTTTTCTTTAACAACATTAAGAGGTTGTCAGGCTAGGCTGGCCCAGCCTCACTCTTTTTCTAGTTTCCCACCTACCTGACAATTTTTTTAAAAAAGGAGAATGTTCTCAGGATTTGTTTTCTATGCAGTCAACTAGGAAACAAATGGTA